AGGAGACAGTATTTGTAATATTGAACAAAATTATACTATGATCTTTGCCCACTTACTCATGCGACAAGTATTTATTGTATCCAATTCATGCCTAGCTCTCTCATGTATTTTTATTGTGTCTAATAATAAGATATTATAATTACTTCGAAACAGATAAGCACACTAAGTGTTCAGTGGTTCCAGCCTACTGAGCTTCCTTAAAAACAAGAAGTAGCAGATTCAGTGGACAAAGCAAGCCATTTTGGTTATGCTGAAAATTTTCAGATTTAAAAGAGAGAAGCCTTGAAATTCAGATAAGCAAATATCATGATGGAAAAGGAAGCACAGGGATTCGTCAGAGGGTGCAGAGGAGCATTTCCTCAGAGCCCACAGCTGCTCTGTCCCCAGATTGTCAAAATGGGCTCTGGTTCTCACTGAGTGGAGGGCAGGAGTGGGCTGAGAGAGCGGAACTAGCTTTCTTTCTCGAGAGACGTAAGTGGAGCAAAGATCAAGTGCTGTTACAGGCTGGACTTGGCCATTACTCAAGGCCCTGCTTCAAGATAGCAACCTGCTTCCGAAGGCCACCAGCCATTAATTAGCATTGTGGGGCTCAGGGAGCCTCGCTCGGCCCCAGTACGCACCTCTCAGCACAAATGAGCAAGGACACACTGAAATCTTCAAAGAGGTACCTATAAGAGCAGTTTATTGAAACTGGAAAAAAAATAGCACACAGAGAATATCTGGAAAAAAAGTAGAGAAAATTAACATCGAGATGGTTGCTTTTTGTAAATGGATCTTGCTGTTTTATTGCTTTCTCAATAATGGCACTGCTTCCATAATTTATTTGAAAGGCAAGTTTCCCAGCCTAAAATTAGGAATGCAGAGTTCAATATCCCTGTTCCCCATGGATATTCATAGAAAGAGGACAGAGTCAGCCTTCCGCAGTCTTATGGGGGACAGATCATCTTTTCATCCATCATACATGGCGTAACCACAGACTTTTTTGGTCCTGAAATGCTAAGTTGGACTTAAAACCAGCAGAGTGAAGGTGGACCTGCCCTGGGCAAGCCAGGATGGAAGGTTACCTTCCTGTAAGCTGTACAGAGGTACGTTCAGAGCAGGAAGCGTGCTTACATCACGCTTGTATTTGTGGTTTTAAATTAGTATTGGATCCTGCATTTGATTAGACATACATTTGATAGTTCATATCCAATACTGTCATAACCTCATAATTCTTTTAGCTCCACCGTCTACCCCAACTTGACCAATCACATCTCTCCTGAATGCCATGATACATTTGAACAAAAGACACTCCCCAGAGTAAGGGAAACAAAACTCTACCTCTGTCCACTGAGGGTCCAAGAATTAAATTGACATAAGAAAGATTAACAGGAGAAAAGCATGCAGATTTATTTAATGCAAATCTTCTGTGGCCCGGGAGCCTTCTGATGGTTACCAGAAGCTGATGAGCATAGTGAGGGTTGAGGGCAAGGAGGGTTGGTTAATGGGTACAAAATATAGAAAGAAAGAATAAGATCTTCTGTTTGATAGCAAAATGGGTGAATATAGTCAATAATGATTACACATTTAAAAATAACTAAAAGAGTGTGGGATTGTTTAACACAAACCATAAATGCTTGATGGAATGGATATCCCGTTCTCCATGATGTGATTATTTTACACTGGATATCTGTGTCAAAACATCTCAGGTACCTTGTAAATGTATATACCTACGATACACCCACAGAAATTAAAAATAAAACATTAAAAAAAAGAATAAGAGAAATTGACCATTCTGATCTTAGGACTTGAAACATACTTTGGTTTTATCTGAAAAGCAAAGGACCCTCAGACCTCTAAAAAGAGTCGTAAAGAACTGAAACTCACCACATTACCGCATTCAGGCAATGAGATGCCAGATGATTCTCTCCTGTTTTCTTAACTATTGTTGCATTTTTTCCATGCTATATAAACCCCGAATTTTAGTTGATCAGGAGGTGGATTTGAGGCTGAGCTCCCGTCTCCTTGGCTGCAGCACCTGATTAAAGCCTTCTTCCTTGGCAGGAATCATGACCTGAGTCATTGGCTTTCTGTGCAGTGAGCCTCAGGGCCCAGACAGGACCCCTGGTGTTAGGTAACAATTTGATGATGTGTAATGAAGACTCAAAGAATTTCAACGGGGGAGGGGGGGAAGACAATTAGACTGGTGGGTCATTAAATGTGTCATAATGGTTACAATTAGCCCCATGACAACTTTATTTTATAACCACTATTTTTGGTATAAAATAAGGACAATGGCTTCAATTTTGCAACTTTGGATTTGATTTCATCCATCAATAAATGTCGCTGAAATGACATCAAAATACTCCAAAAATCCAACTATGCATTTTCTATAATGAAGCCAGGAAATTTTTTTGCAGTGAAGACATCTCTTATTTTTACTTCAAAAACTGGGTTTGGATGATGCCAATCCTTCTAAGTGGAGGTCACTTAAGTCCAAAACTATGGATTCCTGTATTTGCTTTCCTACCACACCTTATTCCAAAGGGAGTTAAATTGTGCACTTTGGCCAAGTGCTTCCCAGCATTAGTACAAATTTCAAAAGAGAATTTAGAACTGCAATAAAATATGTAGGAATTGTGAGTGTAATAAGTGTCCTGATGAAAATACTAGCTTGTAAGTTGATCTGTAGCAGGGAAAGTGAGAGTGGCTAAAATTGGCCTGCCATGAAGCTCTGAGTCTATTTTAAAACCATGTCAGCATCTGGAATTGGGTTCAACAATGATGGTATAGGGAAAGACAGCACCATGTGTTTCTAGATGGCCAGGAGAGAAAATAAAATATATGTCATAATTTGGCAAGCAAGAAAAAGTCCCAAAATCTATAATATATAATTATATATTATATTTTATGTAATTATATATTGTATGTTATGTAATATAGTATACAAATTATATATTATATTTTATAATATATAAGTATTATACATTATATAAATTATATGTTATATAATATTTAGTATCTATTCATTTAAAGTTACTTTTTTCACGTTTATAATAACTGTTACATCAAAATAGAAAGACTTTGTCCTTTGGTGTTGGTATATTAATTTGAATGTGTTCTCAGGAATTATATCATGCTTTTCTTTCACATGAAGCAAAAAGTGTATGTTTTCCCTAACTTGCTAAAACTTAGTGTTCTAATAATGATTGTTTTAAATTAATAAGCGTCCAATAAAAATAAGCAAACTGCTAACTTAACATTCATGAATATTCTTAACATCTTAAAATGATTGGTCAAGCAGATGTGGTTTAACTGGAAGCACAAAATTTTAAGTCTGGAGACCTGGGTTTGAGTTGAACCTGCTAGTCATAGGAGCTTGGGCCTCTTTTTGTCTTGGGTGGAAAAGAGATGACAACCTCACAGGATAATGATAGGTATTAAATTAAAATAGTATGCCCATGTTTTCAACAGTAGACCTGGCAGAAGAATGATACTCCAAACAGTGCTTTAAACATATTTCATTTTTCTTTTGACTTCCAATGATTTCTCAGCACAGTGCAGAAATGTCCCCCAAGGGAGAGGAGTGCTGACAGGCACCTGTGAGCACCCCTCCAGCAATGGAGGATTCCAATTCTGAATTCCCTTTAGGTAGATCGTTTGACTGTAATTGCTTTCGTGATAAGGATGCAGTGCCCAGAACAAACAGCTCACTTGTGGTTGTGTAAAAGAATAAATAACAGAACACAATGAAAGAACTTTGCCTGGACAGAGCCATCCCTCTGCTAGATCCACAGGCTATTCCCAGGGGCCGCTGTCATTAAATATCGACAGAACGCTTTGAAGATAGGCGGACATCCCGGGTGGAGGCTGTGGGTCCCTGCACCCAGCCAGCAGCTCTGCTCCTCAAGCACACCCTGTCTTCTTTTGTCTAATACAAAAAGCTGTATTAGATGGAGGTATTTGGTGATGGAGAAAAGGGACAAAATGGCTACAGCAAGGGGGTTTAGAGTTAGAGAATTTTACTGAAATAAGCAGTTTTACGTCATCTACTAGTTTTAAAAATTGCACATATATTCTGGATAGAAGTTTGTATTTCAGTTTTAAAGGTTTTGGGCTTTTTTCATAAAGCCAGACTTCCAAAACAAAGCAGGGGAATTTTCCCAGCTCTGGCCTAAAGAGCCCTAAAGGATAGAAATCTTTTCATGTCAGTAGCTGGAGGTTTTGCTTAAAAGAGAGGTTATAGCCCGGGCACAGTGGCTCACGCCTATAATCCAGGCACTTTGGGAGGCCAAGGCAGGCGAATCACTAGGTCATGAGTTCAAGAGCAGCCTGGCCAAGATGGTGAAACTCTGTCTCTACTAAAAATACCAAAAATTAGCTAGGTGTAGAATCCCAGCTACTCTGGAGGCTGAGTCAGAGAATTGCCCAAACCCTAGAGGTGGAGATTGCAGTGAGCCAAGATCTCGCCACTGCACTCCAGCCTTGGTAACAGAGTAAGACTCCCTCTCAGAAAAAAAGAGAGAGAGAAAAAAAGAGAGACTCTAAACTGAGAGGGCCGATCATAGGCTTTAATGAATATAAGACATCTCCAAACCCTTCCGGGTGCTGCTGGCTGAGCCCGGCCATCCCGGGGACACCTGGGCATTGCCTGTGTCCCCCTGTTGTCTTCTGTGGTGCTCAGATCTGTGCCCTCACCCAGGACTTTCCTGACAAGCTGTACTATGGAATTAGGGTTGTTTCCTATGCATTAGCCTTTAACTGGGTATGTTTTCTTGTGTGGGAAGCAAATAATTGCTTATTTATTCAGGAGTTGCTTTTAAATAGCTGTAGATGGTCATTAAGTCACTTTGTTACATGAATCATTAGTTTTAACTATAACTTTTCTAGGAGAGAAATATTCACTGCATGCTATTAATCTTGTACTTTTAAGGGGTGTTTTTATCGTGTGTATTTCTATGAGTCTTATAAACACATTTCTTTATTGTTATTTTGCTTTACATTCTGGGGTACACGTGCAGAGTGTGCAGGTTTGTTACGTAGGTACACATGTGCCATGGTGGTTTGCTGCACCTATCAACCCATCATCTAGTTTAAAGCCCCACATGCATTCGGTATTTTTGTCCTAATGCTCTCTCCCCTTGCCTCCCACCTGTGGACAGACCTTGGTGTGTGATGCTCCCCTCCCTGTATCCATGTGTTCTCAGTTTTCAGCTCCCACTTATGAATTAGAACAGGTGACGTTTGGTTTTCGGTTCCTGTGTTAGTTTGCCGAGGATAATGGTTTCCAGCTTCATCCATGTTCTTGCAAAGGGCATGAACGCATTCTGTTTCATGGCTACATAGTATTGCATGGTGTATATGTGCCACATTTTCTTTATCTAGTCTATCATTGATGGGCATTTGAGTTAGCTCGAAATCTTTGCTATGTTTATCACATACCAATTTCAGTGTTCACACTCAGTTTGATAGAAATGGACACTCATCTTTAAGATATGGAACTTGATTCGTGTACTGGACCCAGTGTGTGTGTATGGTCCCATAATACACAAGCTCTGGGCAACTTTCTTAGGAAAAAGTTTCCCTATATCTGTACACATGATTTTAATGATGAGGGAGAACAGGTGTACCATTAGCATGTCTTTAGGATCTATATGCTTCTGAGATATAAAAGTTTTCTGGTAATTTATGAAATTAAATACAATGTAACTTATAATAATTTCTATATAACTCTTAGCATTTATCAGGTACCTGTGATGTGTCCAGTAGGGTGCTTGGTATACAGGTTTTCATCTAATTTTGACACCAATCCTGCCTGGTGGGCAGCCACCCACCTCCACCTGCTCTTCAGAAAAGACCACAGCTTAGGGACTTGCCCCAGGCCACACAGCTGGTAGGTATTTGGGGCCAGGGATGAAAATTATACCTCCCTGACTGCAAGGTTAATATTTACTTCAACACATAATGCAGTACGGACAAAAGAGGAGAAGACTATAGCATTGAGCAGAAGAACAGTTTACCTATTCTAGGTGTAATAGTATCTGACAACAAGCATTTATAAACACACATATATGTATTTAATTAAGAGATATAGGTGCTGATCAAATGATTACTTCTTATGCCTAGATTTGTCAAAAATAACAAGATACTAAGGCCAAACTAGTAAAGTATGACAGTGTCTCTTTGACAGGGGAGAGGGGACGCCTGGGCTGGGAAAATGATGCAGCTGATTTGGAATTGGTTTCACCTCTTTGAAAACTTTAGTTATCATTTTCTTAAGAGTGAAATTGGAATGAAGGGCACGGACTTGGAGTCAGCAAGACAGGGGTTCCATCTCAGTCTCTGCCTCTGCTGATTATATGGCTAGAAAAACCAAGTCTTTTTTTTTCTTTTTTTTTTTTTTTTTTTTGAGACAGAGTTTCACTCTTGTTACCCAGGCTGGAGTGCAATGGCGCGATCTCGGCTCACCGCAACCTCCGCCTCCTGGGTTCAGGTAATTCTCCTGCCTCAGCCTCCTGAGTAGCTGGGATTACAGGCACGCGCCACCATGCCCAGCTAATTTTTTGTATTTTTAGTAGAGACGGGGTTTCACCGTGTTGACCAGGATGGTCTCGATCTCTTGACCTCGTGATCCACCCACCTCGGCCTCCCAAAGTGCTGGGATTACAGGCTTGAGCCACCGCGCCCGGCCCAAGTCTTTTTTAACTCAGTTTTATTATCTGTAAAATGAGGATATTAATATCTTGCATCTGAAATTATATTTGGTAATTGCTTAATATCATGCATGATGCATAGTAAGCATTTCATTAATAATAATGTTAAATTATCTAATGAATCATGGTATACTATCCAATACTTTTAAGAGTAATAATCATTTTTGTTTATAATAACAATGATGATAATAACCATGACGGTACTTTCTATTTAAATATTCTTGATTTAAATGAGATCTGCTTAGAAAATTATGGCTTCTACTCAACTGGTGATGAGAATCTGTTAATCTACTGAAGATTACAGGATATTTTACATGATAGGTTCAAAGAATGTGTCATTTTGGGTGATTTATCAATTTGAAATAAATTAACATGGATTACACTCAATTAACAAAATGAAGCCAACCATAATACAATCTGCTTTTGATAATTATGAGGATAACTCAGGATCTTGTATTTTCTCAAAGTCTTCATTATAAACATTGGTCAATATTGATAAATGGACAGTTTCTAGAGAGTTTTTTTTGTTTGTTTTTTTTTGTGTTTTTTTGAGATACAGCCTCGCTCTGCTGCTCCATCTGGGGTGCAATGACAGCATCTTGGCTCATTGCAACCTCTGCCTCCCAGGCTCAAGTGATTCTCTCACCTTAGCCTCCTACGTAGCTGGGACCACAGGCATACGCCACCATGCCTGGCTAATTTTTGTATTTTTGGTAGACACAGAATTTTGCCGTGTTGCCCAGGCTGATCTGGAATTGCTAAGCTCTAGCGATCCACCTGCCTTGGCCTCCCAAAGTGCTGGGATTACAGGCATGAGCCACCATGCCTGGCCTTCTAGAGAGTTCCTAATGATGGCATGTCACACTTCAATGCCCACTAGGTAGGTTTGCACCTTCATGCTTGAGGAAATAACTCCAATAGTTTTGTGGACTAAAATCCAATGCTCATATTATGCAGCAAGCCAGCTGATTGGGTGTAAGTTAAAAATAGCTCACACAATAAACGCTTTATATGTAAGTTGCTAGCACCCCTTGGGTCAAACAAGCTGAGTTATTCAAGCTAAAATTAGCTCTGAATCAAGTATGTGCATACTGAGAGGGCAGGCTCTTGGTGAAATATTGCAGATGCAAAGTGTTTCTCCTGTGAAATGTTTATGAACATCACTTGAGTAGTCCGGTAAACATTCTTGCTTGTCATAAGTCAAGGCCACATTGTACCCAGAGAACAAGGGAAGATGATGCTATTTCTTCAAATATTTTCATCCCCATATTCTTGCTAATTGTCCAATACTGAATCATAAAATTGCGAGTCTTTTGTTCAGTACCTGTGGAATTTTCAATTCACCCATTAAGCTGGTTTGTGGAGGATATGGAATTGAAAAAGGAGGGCAATGAGCATGTGTTCAATAGAAATGCATGCGGAGGTGTTTATTCTGGTTCACGCGCAGGGACATACGTGGTTGAATAATTAGGAGGCTGAGTCCCATTAATGAAATAGCACCAGAGTTTCCTTTAATATCTGCCTACTCTCTATTAATTGATTCATTTATTATTAACTCAATAAATGTTTATTGAACACTTACAGTATATCATAATGCTAAATGCTCACTTTCTAGAGGGAAAGATGAACCTTCAGGAAAGCAAGATATGTGTTATAAGCACTTACAACAAGGTGTAGGAATAAGGAGATAAGTAAGTCATGGATTCTCTTTGGGGCAAAGAGCTTGGAAAAGGCTTTTTAAGATGGGAAACCATGGATTTGGGTCCTGAGGCCCTAAAGGAGAAGTAGAAGCTGCCTCTCAAAATATATGCCTGTGGTGATCTGCTGCTGGAAAATGTTTAGCAATGGGTCCTCCCAAGAGAAGAGCCTGACCTGTAGCCTTCTCCCATGTGCATGGTTTAAATACGTCCACCATGGCCAACTTCAGACCACCACCATACCCATCACTGGAGACAGGCTTGGGAGGAGATGTCCAGTGACACTGCACCATGTCATACTTCCACCAGACACAGAAGTAAGTACCCTCAAGAGTGCAGACAATGGCCAAATGTAAAAATGTGACTAGAAATTGATGAGCCTTGAGCCATTATTACTGTTTTTAATATAATTTATTTCTTTTTAAGTATATATAATCTAAACATTTAAAGCTGACATAGCAGCAGACCTATACACACATGTTTTGAACATTTGACAGTGAGCTCTCACGCTCTGGTACTGGCACAGCCTGAATTTCTCGTGCTTTCTGAGCTGTGGTTGCTAGAATGCAAGAGTGGGCTCTGCATGCTGACATACACTGCACCTGAAAGAGAGGAGGGAGAGAAGCCATCAGAAGACCCTTAGGATTCTCAGGCTCTTTCTTGAGTTATGGTTAAGAGTCTTTGCTTTCATATAACGTGTAGGTGTTTAAAAAATCTTATGAGCAAATAACAAATCAGGCTGTCCTCTGTCAATTTCATCAAACTTCTAAGATCCCTGCCTTTAAAGAGACTTCACTCTAGATAACAAGATTACAAGAAGAAGCAGACACTAGCTAAACCTTGAACACTACATCAACCTTTTAGAATAATTCACTTTGGAAGTAAGATAAGATGGTTACTTTATTTGCTTCTTCAATTAAATGAAACCTATTGTCTTTTGTGTTTCTGATTTTTTTTAAGTATTTTAACATATTGAAACTAAAAATGTATGGTCAAAACTTTTCTGTTATGACTGGTGCCATGGAGAAAAAGAAGAAAATAAAGTCCTTTCTTGAAATAGTTATTTAAAGAAATAAATTTACATAAATTAAAAATTTGGTTGAGTATACGTAAGTGAAACTTTATAAAACAAGTAAAACTTCAGAAAAGCATAGTCAGAGTGCTTTATAGACTATGCAGTCATCCCAGTACAGACTGGCCCTGTGTCATATACCCCCTCTGAGAACATAAACTCTAACTTCTCAGCCATGGGAAGTGCAGTATAAAATACAATTCCAATTTTTTTTTAGCCAAAGTTGTTTATTCAGACAGATTTGCAAAAGGGAGCACTGGGGCCGTGAGTCTCCCCTGCACATTCTGTTTAAACCATGACTTAAAATCCAGTCCTCTGTAAATCAGTTCCTCCTTCTTCATTCCATCTTTCACCATGAGATACAAAAGAAAATAACACTGATAATGTCTACCATCACATCATGTTAAGTTGAATTCACTTATCATCAGCAAGTTATTTTCTCTGCAAAGATGGGCTATAGCTTCCAAAAACAAAGAATGACAGCAACAACAAAAAGCAAAACATGAGGATAAATGAAAATGAGAGGGCCCAGAGATGGTGGGCTGTGTGGCTGGGGCTATTTTCACTGTCATCAGCATTCTGCCTCACGCTGGCTTGATGAAATCTCGTTTCTTCTCAGTGAAGCACTGATACCATGTTAGTAAAGCATGACAGTGCATCAGTCTTTGCTAAAAAAAAAAAAAAAAAAAAAAAAACAGACACACACATAAAAAAAGCC